TTCACAGGTTGCCACTGGAGTCCTCTTACACTCCTCCATGATGACATTACGGCGCTGATGGATGTTAAAGACCTTGCGCTCCTCCACCTTCCGTTTGAGGATGCCCCATAGATGCTCAATAGGGTTTAGGTTTGGAGACATGCTTGGCAAATCCATGACCTTTACCTTCAGCTTCTATAGCAAGGCAGTGGTCGTCTTGGAGGTGTGTTTGGGGTCGTTATCATGTTGGAATACTACCCGGCGGCCCAGTCTCCGAAGGGAGGGGATCATGCTCTGCTTCAGTATGTCACAGTACATGTTGGCATTCATGGTTCCCTCAATGAACTGTAGCTCCCCAGTCCTGGCAGCACTCATGCAGCCCCAGACCATGACACTCCCACCACCATGCTTGACTAGGCAAGACACACTTGTCTTTGTACTCCTCACCTGGTTGCCGCCACACACGCTTGACACCATCTGAACCAAATAAGTTTATCTTGGTCTCATTAGATCACAAAACATGGTTCCAGTAATCCATGTCCTTAGTCTGTTTGTCTTCAGCAAACTGTTTGCGGGCTTTCTTGTGCATCATCTTTAGAAGAGGCTTCCTTCTTGGACGACAGCCATTCAGACCAATTTGATGCAGTGTGCGGCGTATGGTCTGAGCACTGACAGGTTGACCCCCCTTCAACCTCCGCAGCAATGCTGACAGCACTCATACGTCCTATTTCCCAAAGACAACCTCTGGATATGACGCTGAGCATGTGCACTCAACTTCTTTGGTCGACCATGGCGAGGCCTGTTCTGAGTGGAACCTGTCCCGTTAAACCGTTGTATGGTCTTGGCCACCGTGCCGCAGCTCAGTTTCAGGGTCTTGGCAATCTTCTTATAGCCTAGGCCATCTTTATGTAGAGCAACAGTTCTTTGCCATGAGGTGCCATGTTGAACTTCCAGTGACCAGTATGAGTGAGAGCAATAACACCAAAATTACCACACCTGCTCCCCATTCACACCTGAGACCTTGTAACCCTAACGAGTCACATGACACTGGGGAGGGAAAAAGTATAATTGGGCCCAATTTGGACATTTTCACTTAGGGGTGTACTCACTTTTGTTGCCAGCGGTTTAGACATTAATGGCTGTGTGCTGTTATTTTGAGGGGACAGCAAATGTGAGGGGCGTACTCACTTGTGTGAGATACTGTATGTAAGGACGTATTCTGTGAATGTCATTCATGTATATGGGCAACTGTACTCACCAACTGTGTATCCTGAATGTATGCTCCTGTGTGCCTATTTATTTTTTTGAGTTTTCTAGTTGTTAATAGAGGTGGCTCCAAACAAAATTCTGCTGGCTCCTGGATTGGACAGATTGGCTCCTGAGTTCCATACTCATTTGTGCACCCTTGCTTTACGTTACTTTTTTTTTTTGTGCCCATACACTGCTCGATTCTCGTACGAGAATCGCGGGAAATCCCGTGATCGTACGAGAATCGAGCAGTGTGAACGAAGACGTGCGACCGTTTCTACTGTACGGTCGCACGTCTTTTGTCTAAGGAGCACGCTAGAAAACAAGCCGAAAATCGTACGATTTTCGGCTGGTTTGAACGGTGCTCGGGAGACAAATGCTGAACGGGCCGGTGTGCGCATGCGCACACTGCCCGTTCAGCATTGCGGTCATCGGAAGCCCGCCCCTCAGGGGGGCGGGCTTGCGATGATTGAAAGTACGATCTGCCTGTCCAAGATGGGCAGATTGTACGTTTTTTTTTTAATCACTTAACAACCATCGCAAGACTAAGGTCTTGCAATGGTTGTACAGTGTATGGCCACCTATAGACGTCCAACAGATCTCACTGGCCACTGATATCACAACATTGTCACCTGCTGTAACTTCGAAGCAAACATTGACTAGTATTGGTCCACACTGCTACAAATTTCAATATTCCATATCTGTATCATTTATTTAATTGAATTGTCTTTCTAGGGCATTTCAGGAGATTTGTTGTAGGGTAAATTCTGTATTAATTTGGATCTAGTTGTTTCTATGCTTTCTTTATTCTAAAGGTCTAGATTTTACCTGCACTTGTTTGCATTGGCAGGGTTCAGGTACTGTGTTTGGGTGTCCTCTTGGTTCATGTGACCAGTAGTCATTGTAGGTGAAGGGAACAGGGGCTTGCTGGGGCAACCTTTTTAAATAGGTTAATACAGGGTTGGACAGATTTTAAATTTAGGAGTCAGTTTGTCTAATCTAGTATTGTACGAGGGCATGGTGCGAAACCAGTAGGCACAAGCCTGCGCAAAGCTGTGACTAACACCGCCCCTTCCCAGCCCAATCAGTTGTGGTAGGGGCATTCCCCACCCCTTTGTGTCGTGTACCTGTGCCAATTGATTGTGGTGGGGTCTGGTGGTAATAGTCACAGTTTTGCATTGGCGTGAGCCAGGGCTGGACAAAGGAGCCAGGTAGCCAATGCTCTTTGAAATTACAGCTGTCACCTCTTTAAAAAAAAAAAAAAGCTGGCTCCTAGCACCTCCAAAAAAAAAAATCTTGATGGCTCCTGGATTAGACAAACTGAGTGGACAAATTCCATATTCATTTGTCCACTCTTTGGTTTGGGTGAAGCCCTCTGCACATCACTAGTCCAATCCAGGAGCCAGCTGGATTTTATTTTAGGAGCCAGCTCAACTGATAACTAGAGAAAACCTCAAAAGTTGGGCACCAGCTGTAATTTGTAAAGAGCATTGGCAACCTGGCTCCTGCGATCTGTCCAGCTCTGGGTTAGTATCCGTGTACTTGAATTGGACTAATGGTGGCATCTTGTCTGGTGCAGGTATTGCACAACTTTCCAGCAGGCTGAGTTGTGGCATGCAGGTGTTGTGTGAATTTTTCCTGACTCCCTTAAGGTGGCCATACACTTTACAACCCTCGCAAGACTTTTGTCTTGCGAGGGTTGTAAAGTAATTTAAAAAATGTACGATCTGCCCATTTTGGACAGGCAGATCGTACTTGCGTTCATCGCAAGCCCGACCCCCTGTGGGGCGGGCTTCCGATGACTGCAATGCTGAACGGGCAGTGTGCGACGGAAGATGTGCGATCGTACAGTAGAAACGGTGTCACGCCTTCCATACACTTTGCGATTATTGTACGATCGCGGGAAATCCCGCTATGGACTATGTTCACACCATGAGCTGACCATATCCGGAGCAGATCTGCAAACACAGTGCAGGGTGATTTTTGCCGCTTTCCGATGTGTTTTTTTTTTTTAAGCTAAAATTGGCTTTCAGGTGCAGTCCAGTACATTTGCATGCGTTTGGTTTTTTCATGCATCCAGTGCATTCCAGACCACAGAAAATGAGACCAGCAGTAATTTTTTTTTTAGTCTGGACCAGAACGGACTGCGCTGGTGTGAACAGAGCCCAGAAATACCATAGGGCTACATTGGGATGCTTTTTTGGTCCGGCAACAAACTTTTCTTGTCTGGACATGGTGTGAACCTAACCAAGTCAGTGTTGTGTGTATTTGTTCCTGTGGGGCCTACACTGTCATTATCTTCTGCCTGCACACCTAATTAACTCTGTTTGTGACAGGCAAGTCTCCAATACATAGAACAGCACTGCCTTATTTCTAACCCGAAGTCAGAATGATCTCTGACCAAGAACTTCCATCTTATGTGATCAGTGACTGAAGATTAATTCGGATGGAATTTACTGGCTGCTGTGGTGAAGTTTTCTAAAATCTATCCAGTTAAGCAACATGCCAGTAGATGCAATTACAGCTTTCTATGACTGCAGCTCCCTCCCACCCCAGGAAGCTAGGTTAAGGTTTGCCCTACTTTAGGTGATTCAGGTTGTCTCTGAGAACATGCTGACCTTCTGCATTGATTAAAAGTGACAGTCAGTGTCTTCCCTGTTACCATTTAAATTCAATATCCCGGAGATGACTTTGAGTGCTTGGTGTCCCTGATCCTGACATCTTGTTATATAGAGGCTGAAAGAAAACAGGAGCCGTCAGTAATTCCTGCGTAAGGAAAGGAACATGGACATAAACTTTGTACTCGCTGATGGCAATGTTGAAGCAAGATCCATTTATTTCTTGATTGACTCATTTCGCTTCTGAGAATGACTGACCTTGTTACTTTTATATACAGAAGTTTCTAGCCCCTGTTTATATGTGTGCGGGGACGTCAGCATGTGTGCATCTATTCACATTGTTGTGCGTAGCATATAGGGTGACCCATTCATTTTAATGGACTGTCAGATACACGACAACATTCAGACCCAATCATAGGAGTGCTATGGTAAAATAGTGGATGGCATTGCCACTACAGAAGTCCCAATCTACGATATCACCAGCACACCATGTTCAGACGACAAGACAGGACACTCAATTGTCAATAACACGAAGCCACATTTCGAGGCTGCTATGGACCTCTACCTCCGGCAGAAGGTACTGTTCGTGGCCTCAAAACGTCACTTCCTGTTGGAGACAATAAAGTGTCTTGTTTTCTCATCTGAACCTGGTATGCTAATGATACCTTATATTGGTAATTGCACCTTTTTTTGAAAACGTGCCACTCCAAAACACGTGGTGGGGAATTTATCAAAACTGGAGCAGACAGAGGAAGGGGGATTTATCAAAATATTAGAGCCCATTCACACCAGGGCGGTTGCAGCGCTGAAACGCCATTAAAAATGCCCAAAACCGCACAGCTCAGTGCGGTTCCATTGAAAGCTGTATGGAAACCGCACTGATCAGCGAGGCAAAAATAGTGCAGGCAGCAGTTTGGGCGGAGGGTGGTTCAAATCGCGCTGATCCGTGCGGTCGCTTGCACAGTTCCCATAGCAATGCATGGGATCCTTCATGTCCTTCATGCAGGCAACCAATCGGCTTCTATCCTTCATTTTCAAAGCCTAACTGAAAATAGAAGCTGATTGGTTAATATGCACAGTTGCTCCAAGTTTTCATAAATTTCCCCCATGTTACCATGTGTTTTGGCTCAATTGTACACGGGTAAAAGCACAGGGTGCAGTCGGGCATGTTGGAATGCCATTGACAATGAATAGCACCACAGCACGTTTTACAGAGTGGTGCCTTCTGGTGTGCTACGGCAACGTACGTGAAATCAGGCATTCTCATGCATGTTGCTGTAGTCCACAGATGTGATCAGGGGCTAGTTTAGCATATTTGTCTGCATTAAGCTGGCCATACACTTTACAAAAATTGTGCAATGATTCTAAGGTAATTAAAAGCTCGTACGTTCTGCCCATCTTGGACAGGCAGATCGTGCTTGTGATCATCGCAAGTCCGCCCCGTTGAGGGGAGGGCTTCCGATGACTGCAATGCTGAGCGGGCAGTGTGCGCTCGCGGCATTTGTCTCCCGAGAACGCCACTAACCCCCCGAAAATCATACGATTCTTTGCGGGTTTTCAAGCCTGCTCGTACAGTAGAAACGGTCGCACGCCTTCCATACACCTGCCGATTATCGTACGATCGCGGGATGGGCACCTTTTAAGCTGGTCATACACTTTTACAACCATTGCATGACTTTCGTTGTGCGATGGTTGTAAGGTCTTTTAAGATTTCATAAGACCTGCCCATCATGGGCAGGCAGCGTGCTAGGAAGACGAAAGTTGTGCGACCGTACAGTAGATGCGGTCACACCCTGCCCATACACCTGCCGGTTATCCTACGATCGCGGGATCACCCACGATTATCGTACGATAATCGGCAGGTGTATGGGCACCTTAAGACTGGGAGAATTTGGTTGATTTTAGGAAGATTTTTGGCGTGGTGTATAGGCGTTCTCAAAGCACGCTGCATTTTCAAGATGGCGTTCAGGTCCGCAGCAAACCAGTATTTGTACTGACAAGGTTTGTATTGCATTTGCTGTCTTGCATTTGCTGTCTATCAGATTACGTCAATGACCTGTGCGACATTTCTTGTTTTGGGGAGCTTAAGTGATGTAAATGTGATTAACAGCGGACTCTGATCCAGAGCGCTGGAACTCAGCCTTACTTAACCTTACTATATCACATGGGCAGGACAGATTACAGAGCCTGATCGCAGTTAACACAATGCGCAGGAAACACTTTTTTGTTGTAGCTTACATTATCAGTGTGAAATTTAGTGTTATTGTAACATGCTTCGGAAATGCTGCTTCCGTTTGGGGCAAGTCATTCCTGCTCACAGCTATAGGGAAGTGATATTCTTGCTTTGTGGGAAAAAAAAAAGATGCAAGTTTTAAGTGTGTTTATTTGAAAAGGAGAGTGTGTGCAAATGTCAGCACGGTGGTTTCGTTAAGGGATTTGTGTAACTCTGCTTATTTGTACACTTATGGTTTTTTATTATGCCATTATGTTAGAAAAGAGCTACTGTTTTTTAAATACTTTGAAAGAGATTTTTTTTAAACCATTCTAGCTATCTAATGAAACCCTGCCAAAAGATTATTATTACTATTATTAGGGATGCACCAATACCGGTATTTTGGTACCGAGTACCAATACTTTTTTTTCAGTACTCGGCGATATCAATTACCGAGTACCAGAAGTCCCTTTCAGGAAGCCTGATTAGCCGGGCAGTGTGTAAAGACTCGCCACCCGGCTTCCCGATTAACAAGAAAGTCTGTCCCCTCTCACCTCCGCATGTCCAGCCTGTCACCCCCGCGGCCTCTCCAGCCAGGAGCGGCCTTCCTCCGGTACCCAGCCAGGGCCGTCTTGCTGGCCAATTATGGAAGCTGGGCGCTGTGTAATGACGCGGCGCCCTGCTTTCTGATTGGCCGGGAACGGGAAGTCGGCTCCATGCTCTCTCATCACAAGTGACGAGAGAGCATGGCGCCGCTTTCCGGCCAATCAGGAAATCGGGCAACGTGTAATGACTTGCTGCCCGGCTTCCTGACATAGGAAGTATCGGGCTAGGCATCGGAGCATTTGGGCGAGTACGAGTACTCGCCCAAATACTCGGTATCGATACTAGTATCGGTGCATTTATGATTATTATGATTATTATGATTATTATTATTAACCAGTTGACATCCGCGGTGTTAAACCCCCTTCCCATCCAGGCCATTTTTCAGTATTCAGCGCTGCGGTACTTTAACTGACATTTATTCCGTCATGCAGCGCTGTACTGAAATGAATTTTATACCCTTTTTTGGGGACAGATAGAGCTTTCTTTTGGTGGTATTTATTCACCACTGGGGGTTTTATTTTTTTACTATATTAAGGAAAAATTACCGAAATTTAAAAAAAAAAACAGTTTCCCCTATATTAAATGATAAAACATTTATTATTACCCAATTTTTTGGTAAAATATAAAAGATGGGGTCACGTCGGGTAAAAAGACACTAAACATGTCAAGCCTTAAAATTGCGTGCGCGCGCGAAACCTCAAAAAACGATAATACCCAAAATTGGCCCTAGGCGACGCTTTAAAAGCTGTTACCGCTCATCAGTTTAGTGTTATCAGTGATTGATGGCCCTAAAATGATTGCTCTCACTGCGACGTTCGCGGCGATATGTAACATGTGTAGCGCAATTGTAATTTTTGCGCGCTGGGGCACCGGACGCGTATTTACGTTTATAGGCGCGTAAACGTGGGGGTGGGGGAGTTAAACATTTTGGGGGGGTTTTTTTCCCCTTTTTTTATATGTGGCTTTTATTTTATTTTATTTTTTTATGTGTTACTTTTCTTTTTTTTTATTTATATTTTTTTTTGCACTTATTGTTATTGCTATTATATAGGGGGATAACAATCCCCTATATAATAGCAAAGGCACACTGACAGGTCCTCTTTATGGAGATATTGTGTGTGCCGCGAACGAGCACATATAGGCGATCGGCGGGCTATGGACCCGCTGATCGCCTATATGTGAAACACCCGGTACCGGGTGTTTGCATTGGACGGGTCTTTTCTGCCCGTGCGTGCCCGCTAAAATTGCCGTCTGGAGACGGCAACCCGCAGATGCTGCAGTGCCGTCCGTCCGTTTTTTTTACTACGGGCGGACGGCAAGAGGTTAAAGTGTGACCAACCTAAAAATATATATTTAACGATTAACACACGGGCCCGGTGTACTGATATCACTATGACATCATCCTTCCAGAGACAAGCATTGCTGATCAATGGCCATCCCTGCTCTGTTAAAAGAGATAGGCAAATGCCACATGGTAAGTCAGTAATGAGGAAAACGATCAGCTGTGGAGAGCCTGCATGCAATACTGGTGACTAGACCTTGGCCCTCTGCATGCCATGTTTGGGTACAACATAATACAGTTCAGGATTGTTTTAAGGTGCCCATACACCTGACAATTATCGTACGATATTCATGGGGGATCCCGCGATCGTACGATAATCTGCAGGTGTATGGGCAGCGTGAAACCGCATTTACTGTATGGTCGCACGACTTTTTTGTCTTCCGCGCACGCTAGAAAATCCACCGAAAAGCGTCCGATTTTCCGTGGGTTGGTGGCGCGATCGCAAGATGAAAGCCGCATGGGCCAGTGTGTGCAAGCGCACACTGCCCGCTCAGCATTGCAATAATCGTCAAGCCTTCCCCTCAGCGGGGAGGGTTTGCCATGATCGCAAGTACAATTTACCTGTCCATGATGGGCAGGTCGTACGAAATTTTAATCACCTTACAACCATCGCACAACGAAAGTTGATTGTGAGGTGTATGGGCAGCTTTACCCTAAAGGGAATCTGTCATTTTGACCATAGAAGGCAAAGTGACAAATTCTCTTAAAATCTGTTCTTTTACTGTCAAGCAGGTTGGGGGAATAGAGGTGACCTGTGTTGCTTTAACCACTTGATGACCGCGGTACTAAACCCCCTTCCTGGCCAGGCCATTTTTCAGTATTCAGCGCTGCAGTACTTTGACATGTATTCCGTCTTGCAACGCTGTACTGAAACAAATGTTATAAAAAATGTTGGGGACACATAGAGCTTTCTTTTGGTAGTATTTAATCAAATTCAATCAAAATTTTATTTTTTACTATATTAAGGAACATGTTGGGAAACAATTATTACCCAATTTTTTGGTCAAATATAAAAGATGGGGTCACGTCGGGTAAATAGACACCAAACATGTCCAGCCTTAACGAACGACACGTTATACAAGCGATCCGCCGTCTCCATAGCTGGTGGATCGCTTGTATGTAAACAGGCATTGCTGCCGGTTTTTAACTCCTTCATGACTGAGGCCTTTTTTAATTTTTTGCACCCATGTTATATTTCACATTGTAGGCCTGATAATTACTTAAAACCCCCAAACATTATATATTTTTTGAAAGCCAAGACCCTATAGAATAAAATGTTTGCAGTTGCGCAACTTATCAAACCCTAAATTTGTAGTGAAAAAAGTACTTAAATGCCCCAAAACACAATAAAATACCGATTTTAAAAATAAATAAATATAAAAGATGAGGTTACAACGAGTAAATAGATACCCAACATGCCCAGGTTAAAAATTGCGTGCGTCCATGGAATGGCGAC